AATAATAAAAAAATATTTTAATTGGGGCTGACTGTTACAGTGTCACACAGTGCCCCGTAATACAGTACTTCGGAGGTACAAGCCTAATAGATAATGCGGATGAGTATTTTAGGTTATGTTTGCAACAAACTACTTGCCGGTAATTTATAGCAAAATATACATGAAATAAAGGGAAATTAACATGACTTACCCAAACACGATACGTCCGGAAAGAAATTAAAAACTTTGAAATGATTTTTTCGGCGTTTAATCACATTAAACTTTTTTGTTTTATATTTCTAAAACACAGTACAAACTGCAGGTATGACATTTGTCTTAATATGGCGGCTTCTGCACTTGACCAACGTGTATACCAACATCATAAAAATAAGGAACAGAGATATTTGCATTGTAACATTGTACCCCGTGTAACACTGTGCCCCCCTGACCCTACTTGAAACATTTTGGCATGCACTTCAGAAACATTAAATACAACAAGAATATAATCAGCTCAAACAATATTACTTGATCATAAAGATTATAATTAAGTCATGAAAAGTAAACTACAAATTTTCTGAAGATACCTGGCAAATTACATATTTCAAATCAATCTGAAAAAACTCACTTTTGGCTGCTCCTGGATATTTGTGAATCTTTTTGTCATTAATGTTTGGAGTTTTGCCATAAGAATTGTCAGCCACGTATTCAAAATCTACATTTTTTTGTCTGCCATTATTATAGTACTTATGTCACATTCAGTTTCTATAACATTTTCATCTTCATTAACGGAGTTTTCATGCGGTTTCAATATAGTATTGATATGTGTTTTCAACAGTCTATTATTTAGTAGAGTCCAATCATCAAGGACACCTTCAGTTTGACTTTCCTCAACTTGGGTATCTTCATAAGACAGGCACGATATACCTGGGAGACATAAATAGAGAAAAATCAATAGGTGTATTACTTGATACAATAATCCCAAATATTTCCAAATAACACTTGTACCTACCAGCCACATCATCTGAATCAAAAGCATTTTGATGGCCCTGAATACTGAAACTGATTGTATCTGTCAATATTTTCTCTTTATCCGTTTTTTTGAGTTGGCGGACAAATATATATTCCCCCTCCTGTGCCTGTCACATATTTGTGTTCTAGGTGAAATCTTTTCTTCAACTCTTTCTTTATGGCTTCATATTTTGTTTTCAATTGCTTGGCAGTTCTGGCTACAAAATAGTAATTATAAACTGTTTCGACTTCAGTAAGAAGTTTTATTGCCACTTACAGGTCATGATGAAGAGGAATTGAAATCAACTCCAACTATTTTCCAGGCCTTTTCTTTCTCCTTCCATGTGATAGCATCAGTTATTTTGCACTCAATGATAAATTTATAGGAATTGAATACTAATCGCATGCAGGTAGTTTGTATACGTTGTAACTTCTGTTTGTTATATTGCGGCAAAAAATTGTAATACACCAAACAACAATACTCGATAGGGGGGTAAATAAGAATTTTAACCAACCTAAGTTTCATATCTGATACTTGAATTTATATAGTGATTTGAGTTTGAAGAATGATACTTTGAAAATGTTTGTCACATGTTCGTGGAAAGACGAAGAGCTATCTATGGTTACGCCAATATTTTTAGCACTGTCTACCCAGTCAATATCTGCAACTTTTTTTCAAGTTCCACTACTTCAATTTTTTTTTCAGCTAGCAACTCAATTTGACTCCAGCCGAGAACATCCTTTTTCTTTTTCAGAGAAACAGGCTTTCTTCGGCTGTACCAACTTCCTAAAATGATATTTGAATTAAATCTACAATTTTTCAATCAGACATGCCCCTCTGAATTTTTTTCAGGTAGGGTCAGGTGGGTAGCAGTGTTACAAAAAAAATAAATTAGATAATAGTGACAAAAATATTTGTTTAATCAGTCTGTTTTTTGCATACAAATGAATTTTAATGATCCCTCTTCAATTGAAATAACTCAAATAATAACATTATTTTAAACCACTCAATAAAATTTGCACTTTTACTCTGTTACAGGGTAAGGGGCACAGTGTTACAACATAAAAGTTATC